AACCCTTGTCCTTGTCAATGATCATTCAGTGTGTGCACTCTTGCTCAAACAGATAACATTTGGCTTTAAAAAAATTCTTGAATACATAATGACATGAAGTCCTGCCCTCATCATCCATCATTTTGGCCCTCGTTTTCGGACAGTCCCCTGCACATGTGCCCTGCTTCCTCTGGATTAATTTAGACCGCAACACCTTGTCAGCCCTCAGTTTGTGACGCACACTGCGTCCCTGTGAGTATGGCCCCAAATAGAAGAATCTGTGTGGGGGGAAAATAAAAAAAGAAACAATTTTCACACATTGATACATTTGCTCAAGAAGCCTCACATATGGTGTTCCTGAAAGATTAAAAAAATAGATGGCTTGGAAGTTATAAGGAAAGTGAGAGGTTTCATAGAAAACAATTTTAAATGTAAGACTGAAACTTTCACCAGCAACAGCACAGACAAATTATGAGCTGCAAATCTTGGATTGAAGACCTTGGAGGCAAGTTGTAGGTCAGGGACGGTGCTTAAGTTTATTGTGTCAACAAAAAAGTAAAAAAAATTGCTAGACAGGCACATTATCTTACCTTTCAGCACTTTTTTTGTTTTAAGAAACTATCTCTATATGCGATATATTGGTCTTTGGCTAAATTTGGATTTGTGTAACTGCATAAAAATGTGTTTTTAAAAAAGGCAAATGAGTAGGGATGATTGTGTGTTTGCACAAACCTCATAAAATTTCAAAACTGAAAAGTTGGTGCTAGCTACATAAAATTCACTGAACAGCACTTCTAAATATCTGAACTGTTCCTTTAGGATCAAACAAGGTATTTATAGACTGTTTGTACATTTACTTTTGTTAAAGAAAAAAAAGGGGGATTTCTTCTCTTTAATGAAGCTGTGTGTGTGTCATCTTCCCCCACAACTCAACTGGCTCGTGTCCTCAGGGCTGGGAGGGTGCAGGACCAGTAGGCATCACCATCATCATCATCATCCTCCCCCTGAAGCACGAGTGTGAAGCGTGGGTTTGCATTCATAATGARGGCGGTTGAATGAAAACTCACGAGAGTGACGTGAAGGAGGAGGAGGAGGAGGGAAAAAAATGGGAGGGTAAAGCAGCTGCTACCCAGTCAATTTCTAGTCCAGTCACTGCTTCTTACACACACACAACACACACACACAGCTCGGTGTTTGGTGGTGGAGTAATCGGACAAAGGGACGCACAGAGGAGGTCTCATCGCAGCCACGCAGATCATCCAAACTGCGACGAGCTCATTGAATTTCCTTTTTTTTTTTTTTGGTCCACATCTGCTGGGAAATAAATCAGTTCAAGCTGGAGGTGACCGTCACAGAGGCGTTAATTGCTCGCGTGGGTAAGTCTGTCAGCGCGTCACCTGATGTGGAAGTGACGGATCAGTCACTCTGCTTCTGACAAGTCAGACCTTATGACTTGAAAAGTAAATCTGTATTATAAATAACGCGTAATAACACGTGCTGTGTGGTTATTGAGATGTTTGGGTGAGGGTTGATGCCTCTTCTGATTATTTATTGGTTAATATGGATATGTTAGATCGATTCGTGACTGTCGCTCTTCATCATCTATCTGCGCTGCGCTCCAAACTCTGGCGCGCCCTCCGCGTCACGGCCGCGCACCTCCCGGCTTATCAGCATTTAATCTGTCATTAGGGGGTTATTTTAAGACAGCGCTTCAGCCTCAGACACCGGCTGGCTACTTTATCAGCCGCGTCTTCTTCTTTTTGTTTTTGTTTACCTGAACTTTCACAATTTTTTTTTTGTTTGTTTGTTTCCTCCAGACAGCACAGCCGTACTCGTGAGCCTCGGCAGCGAAATCCCCATGGAGATGGAGCATTTCGACGAGCGGGACAAAGGTCAGAGGCACGGCCGGGCCAACGCGAAGGTGAACGGGGTCCCGAGTCCCACGCACAGCGCCCACTGCAGTCTGTATCGGACCCGCACCCTGAAGACCCTGACCTCGGAGAAGAGGGCCAAGAAGGTCCGCTTCTACCGCAACGGGGACCGGTACTTCAACGGGATCGTGTACGCCATCTCAGCGGACAGGTTCCGGACCTTCGACGCTCTGCTGGCAGACCTGACCCGCTCGCTGTCCGACAACGTCAACTTGCCCCAGGGCGTCCGAACCATCTACACCCTGGATGGCTGCAAGAAGATCACCAGTACTGATCAGCTGGTGGAAGGTGAATCTTTGGCTTTTGACAGTTTTTAGTGCTACAGTTTCTTAGACTATAACAAATAATAGACATCATTATAATGTGGATTATAATCTCAAACAGACTCTGATCATCTCTGAAGATTAAACACATCCTTGCCATGTAATGTAATCTTGCCCTATATGGACTATATATCCAAATACATTATTTGACGGCGGGGCATTGATAAGACTTAAAGGCCTACTCACTGAAAACTATAAAATATAATCTAAAGAAGGATATCCTGAATGGTACAAGATCAGGCATAGGCAGTGTAGGTAAATGCTAAGGGCACTATTTCTCTAGGGGGGCGTCACAAACAGGGATGGAAAAAAAGACATTTTATTTAGTCTGTATAATAATCATTCAATGTAGCTTGTGCTTTGGGTTTCTCATCCTACTTTGTTACTACATGACTACATTTGATACAGAGGAGGTTTCATGATAAAATATGATGCAGCCAACACTAACCAATGATGCTCAGTGTGTAAAAAGAAAACTAAACAAGGATAATGGAAGTTTCTGTCATGATCTTTGATAAAGTTCAAATTAAAGACTGGTTTTCAGTGTTTACCCTTGATAAAATACGAGTTTTATTGTTGTTTTATTAATCCTAAGAATTTAGTAAAATGCCCTTGACATGGCTGGAAATCGCATAGTTTTCCCATAGCTGTCTGCTGCTCTGAACACTATTGCTCACTCAGTGTAGCTTTTTTCAGATTCAAAATACTTTTGAGAAAATGTATTTCCAGGTCCAAGTAAACTGCATCATAACGCACACGCGAAACAATGCCACCCCCCAAACTCACAGCACAGAAGCAGAAGGTGGTTCTTAAAGAGACAGAGGCCAATTTCAAGGCATTTAGAAGAGGAAGTGATGAGAAGATAAGTTTATTTTCTATTTAAACATAAAAACAGCATTTTAATAACAGCTAAAGGAGACATAGATACTTTATTATGGTATAGTATTTAAATATATGCCTGAGAAACACATAATATTGTCCCTTTAAGAACCATTATTGGATAAAACCCACAATTCAAGTTCACTTTGGATAAAAGCCAGCATGGCCATATGGTCAAGCAGATGCATCCTTTGTTTCAACTTAGATTAGCTCAGTCTTGATTGGGTTTACTCTCCAATAACTACAGTACACGCCAATGTTATTATGTAAAGTATTTGATATTATMAAAGCTTCCTTTGTTTTCTACTCCTCTGCTTTCATTTAATAGGTGAAAGCTACGTCTGCAGCTCAATCGAAGCCTTCAAAAAGCTGGATTACACAAAGAACGTGAACCCTAACTGGTCGGTGAATGTCAAAGCCTCGTCCCGCAGCCCCCTCACCCTGACCAACGCCAAGTCCGGCGGCCCGGATGGCCGTGAGAACAAGAACTTCATCCGTCCGAAGCTGGTGACGGTGGTGCGGAGTGGAGTTAAGCCTCGTAAGGCTGTGAGGATCCTGCTGAACAAGAAGACGGCTCATTCCTATGAGCAGGTCCTGACCGACATCACTGATGCCATCAAGCTGGACTCTGGGGTGGTGAAGAAGATTTACACGCTTGAAGGCAAACTGGTAAGAACGGTTTGCACTGTTCGGAGACGATGAATAGCTTAGATTAGATCTTGACATTACTCATTATCTGGTGGATGATACGTCAAAGAACTGTGTCACATAAAGTCTATCAAAAAGTTGTACCAACAGACAAGTCTCTAGGTTTTTGAGGGGATATGGACCCCAATTCTCTCTATTGATATTACCTCTTCTGGCATTATTATTTTTAACATACAATCCTTATGAATCAGCTAAAATATTTACTACCGTATTTATTCAAGTATAATACGTAAAATCAAATCCATAAAATCATCCATAAAGTTGGGGGGTAGTACTATACTCGGATAAATATTTTTGCTTATGTATTTTAACTGAAATATCGGCTTCATTCACAAAATTATTGAGTCTGAGACCACGTCGTAAAAAGCAGTTGAAACAAGCTTACCTCTGACACTCCTTTGTGCTTCAGAGCGAGATAATAACAGATCCAGGCAGGCGACATGATGTGAAAAAAAGGGGGGAAAAGGCAGTCCTGCAGCTTAGTAATGATAACGAACTAATGACATTAGTGTGCGACTGGGCCGCTGTTCGAACAACAACAAACATGTTCATCTGTAATGGTTGCCGTCTACCGGTGTTCTGAAAAAGTTTGTATCCCTGAAAAAACATTTCCCCACCAGAGGGGGTGCTCGCGAGTAGGAAGTAATCTGCTTTTCCCCCACAAGACGGCCCAAATCTCATGTGAGGTCTCTGACTTTTGTGTTGGCGCATCCTGGTGGACTATGTGTAAAATGCCAGAATTCATATGATGCTGCTACAGCTGATATATATTTGTTGTCAAAATACCTTTTAGTACATATGTTGTTAAAATAAAATGAACAGTCCAATGATCATTTTACTGATATTTATAAAGACTGTAAAGGCTGAAAAATCTTGAAGTCTGTATGAAATTGGAGGTAGTTTGAGGATTAAATTTGTTATGCTTTTTAAGCTAAAAAAAAAGGTGGGGTCGTATTATACACGAGATCGTATTATACAAGAATAAATACGGTAGTTGCAGAACATAAGGAGCCTTTTTGAAAGGATTCCCTTTGCACCATGTGGTTGAACTTTGTATGGTAATACACAGCACCAAATGTGGCTAGCAATGCTGACGTTAGCTTGTACAAAAGCCAGTGGGATCAAATACAGGCCAAAGGGAAAGAGTTTGTGTTTAAGTCAAAATCATATAAGGGCAAGTAAGATCTTTGCTGTTCTAATCTTATTTGCCTTAAAGAGAGGATTCAAAGGCTTAAAGTGACTAAATATTTAATCAGCATCCTTTCATTTTTTATTTTCTTTTCTGACCTCTTTTAGGAATATTTGCATCTTTTGCTCACAGCGGTGTAGAAAAAAAGCATGACAGAGATTGAAAGAGGTCACGACAAGGTAACAAGTTGAAATCAATTTATGAATGGAGTCTGGCGCATGCTGCTGCGCTTGTACCAGCCTCAGAACCCAAAAATAAATCAGCGCCACATCTCCCTCAGAGGTCCACCCACCTCTCCGGCTCCTACTCTCACATTTTTATCTCTGCATTGTCAGAACGAGATGGTGTTGTGTGTGTGCGTGTTTGTGTGTGTGTGTGTGKGTTGTGCTGAACAGGGTTTATGCTGCAGCTGAGTCGTGTCAGACAAGCTTTCTCTCAGACACGTAGATGTTTGTGCCTATTTTTGAGCAAAGGAGAATGACTGTCTGTGGCAGCGTGTTGGGGTTTTATGTTGCACTGATTCCTTCCTGTTTGACCTCTTGTCACCTCTCTTCTGCCACTTTTCATCCCCATCATTTCTCTCTGTTGGCTCTCTCTCTCAGTGAAGCCATCCTTATGACACAGAGCTGCTCGTCCCCTGACAGCACAATTAGTTACATCATTATTTTCGAAACAGATTGTGCCGGACATGTGGGGCATTCTGCCATTTTGTGTTGTACAGCGTGTAATCTTGTCCTAAATGACCAATTTGTGACTCACGCTCGTGACTGTGCTCTTTGCTCCTGGAGCATTTCATGCCATTTTTTGCTAATCTGTCACCATTTGTCTCAGTTCGAAAGATTCATCTTCATGTAGCCTGTTAATTCATCTCTGTCTATTTAATGATCTGTTGTTGACTCAGCTGGAAACCGACTCCATTAGATTCCAGACATTTAAATCCCCACATCAGATTTTCCTGGCAAAACCTCCTGTTATGGATTAAACTCACTGTTTTGCAGAACAGTTTTTTTGGCGACTACATAGTTAATGTTGCTGTTGCCATGTCACTGGAAATAAGACTGTTATGGTGATGCTATTTTTGGAAACAGTATTGATTTGGGCCTATAGGCACAGTAACACAGTCACTTGTCAAATTGGTGGGCTGTAGAGCACCCCCCACTCAGATTTTCTGTGTTTATGTTTTTTTTTAATTTTTTGATTCATGAAGAGAACTATAAAAAGGAGACTATTGTGTTAAAAGATGGCCAGAACTTGATTCTATGAATGGTTTATTGGTGAAAATCTTAATATTGAAGAAGAAAAACTAAATGAACTTAGTGTTTCTTTATAAATTATGTATGTGGAGCGACGACAAACTGCAAAGATATAGTAAACTTGTATGTAGGGGGGATGCATTGTGCATATAGTTTTTTTTTAATTGTGTGTGGGTTTCTTGTGTCAGCCGAGCGGCGTCAGTCACTGAGCCCACGGCAGAAGTAGGTTTCTGGGCCTGGCTGCCTGTAACTCTGAATCCCAGCAGAGCTGCAAAGGAGCTTGAGCTTCTTACTTTTATTAACCTCAGTAATGAGGCCAGAAACAGAGCTGGGTGGGTTCATATGAACACATTTTTTTTCGCAGTAATTGTCAGAACATCAATTCTGATAAAGACATTAAGAGAGCTAAAGTAGATAATGTACTTAGAAATAGTTGTTCTTTAATTGCGTACAGATACTTTTAGTTAAATTACACAAAAGACTGAGAATCTAATTTCGTTTGTCTTTGAAGTGTGCTTCTCAGGGTTCCCACACCTTGGTCAACATCAACTTCAAGGACCTTTCAAGGACTTTTCAGTACCAATTTCCTCAATTTCAAGAACCACGCGCAGCGGCAACTACCTACTGCTACCGCAGAATGTTACCAATAAACAGTTTTAATATGTAAATTCAACGAAAACCTGAACAGAAAAGAAGTTGTTGAGTCAGAATCAATGAAAGAAAGTGGATTAAAGGTACAACCTATATTTATATCCACAATACATGGATATGCAATTATGTAATTCACTTATTCACACGTGAGAAGATGGCACACACGATTCATGTGTTTTTTTGTTTTTTTTTTGTGAAATTTCAAGGACAAGTGTAATTTTTGGCTGTTTTCAAAAACTTCCCAGGGCCTTGAAACATTTCTTTTTTCAAATTCACAAACTTTCAAGGATTTCAAGGACCCGTGGGAACCCTGGCTTCTGTTTAAAAATAAACTTGTAGCTATATCTCAGTTTAAAGTTTAATTTTGACTAGACTGATGAGCTAACAGCTAGTGAGTGAAACCAAGACCAAAGTGAATTGTTGCCATCTTAAAACAACTCACTTTCATTGTTGTTCAAGCAAACTTATTATATTTTTTGTCAGTGTTGTATTCCTTGATTACTTAGATCAAAGTCTGTAGTTTTTTGTGAGCAAAAATAACACTTTCGGAAAGAATATTATATTTCTGTTCGCATAAGCATTAAATGCAAAACTGACAAAGGTGTAAAGGTTTCTAACCGTTTGCATGAACAGCTACGACATTTTTTAGCACGGCGTTCGAAAACAGTCCACTTTGGTCTCGCTCCCACTTGGATTAGCCTTTAGCTTGTTACGCTCCATATCTCCAAACTGAAGTCATTAAAAGAGCTGCCTTCAACAGGTAAGACGATAATTTTGAAGAAATTATTGGGGTTTCAGATTAATACAACTGATTTAAATTACATACACGTGGTATAGTTTTATGATAGAACTGTAATGACTGTTAAATGTGACCGTTTTGCTTAACTTGATGATTCTATATTTGTAGATACATGCCTGGAAACAAATCCAACACATAACTGAACTTTTAATTCTTCATTAGGATAGGTTTTTAATGACTGAGGAGCATGGCTTCTAGTGAATAACAGGGACCCTTCACTATATGATGTAATCAAATAGGCGGAGCCATGCCCTGAAGCTTTTTTATTATTATTATTATTATTTTAAATTTTATTTTTATTATCATTTTCCCCTGAAGCTTTTTTGTTAAAACTGATGGTACTTCCTTGTTGTGGCCTGATCTCTTGGGCACTCGAATAAATGAGACATCAGCAAAGGTTTTGTATGGCTACTCTTTAATCATCCTCCCCATGCTATTGCACATTCTCCRTAAGGTTGAGCACACAGCTAGTAAACAAACACGAATAACTAGACTTTCTTTCATGTTCATAACCTTTTCTCAGAACCCCCAAAATCAAGAAATTTAAACTTAGTTCACTTATATTAGCCATTTGTAACAACGTCTTTATGACCAAACTGAGCTGCTATTTAATAGTTTGCCTTATACGTATGCTCTTTACTCTGATAATCACCACCTCATACTCAAATAGCTGACAGCTAMTGATATTTTGGAAATCATATTTCTGTATGTAGTATGAGAATTTGAGTTAAGGAAATTAAAATCAACTACCACTATCTGCCCCCTTGCTTTTACATCCTCCACTTTTTTGAAAACTTTCTTCACCTCACCAATTCCTATGATCCGGTGAACCTGCTGTGATGTCACACGGTAGGACGGCCGACAGAACGGGTGGTGCAGCAGGGCCGGTCTGATCTCAGATAGACGGCTTGTAAGTGGCTTATTCCCTGAGCACGACTGCTCCGTTAATACGTCTAAGCTCTGTTTCACACACACACACACACACACACACACACACACACACACACACACACACACACACACACACACACACACACACACACACACACACACCAGCCATTTGATGACA